ACATCCCTGTCCTCATGAAGGTCCCAAAGAATTCGATCGCCAAGCCTTGCGGTGTAGGTCTTGGCTCCCTTCGAGTTCGTGTCCATGCCGGCCTTTGCCAACCGCCGCACGGAAATCAGGTTTGCAGCAAGGCTGGGCACCCAAAGCACGTTCTTGAGGCCCACCATCCTCCCATCAGCTCCCTTGAACATGGCCTTCCCCATGCCTTTCACCTCTGCTCGCTGCCCCAAAGCCGATGTGACATACTTCACCGGTGACGGCTCGAGTTCAATGAGCAAGTCCGGGCGAGGTGTCATGCTATAGGTAGCGCCACTATCAATCACCCAAGAGTCCACGAGGTGTAGGGTCACCTTCCCCACAGCTGCTGGCTCCTCAAAGCCTTCATCCTTCTCTGGACCAGCCGGTACTTGCGTCAACACGAAGTAGAATAGACCCGGGTATCGATCGTCGCTCGGGTCCTTGTTGTTGTCTCCGCTCTTCATGTTTGCAGCTCCGCCACCGCAACCGCCACGGCCTCCACGGCCTCGTCCTCTCCCTCCTTCTGCTCCTCTACCCTCTTGGCCTTGAGCAAGGGTCCAACCATCAGGGCATTTGTAGCAGTCGCGCCACATGTGTTCGCTCTTGTGGCAATAGTGACATTCGTCGTCGAATCGGCCGCGACCGCGTCAGTAGCTCTTGTCGTCACTACCGTAACCACCGCTCTCGCGGCCTCCGCCAAAGTTCCTGCCACCAAACCTTCCTCCCCCTCGTCCTCTACCTCTTCCTTGACCATATCCTTGGCCGATGCTCGCTGCCCCAGCGCCATCCGCACTCGCCAACTGACGGCGGCAGAAATCCTCTTGAAGGATAGCTCGCTTCACGTCTTCAAGCGAGAGGCGGGGCAAGTCGCGATTAAGGTTGATGATGAGCAAGGACCATGACTTAGGGAGTAGGGCCAGCAACTTGGTCTTCTTTTGGAGCTCACTATAGTTCAAATCAGCTCCCTTAAGCCGCATCAACAAGTCAAAGAATTTTTGCACCCCTTCTTCAACCACTTCATCCTCTTCAATTCGTAGTGTTGCCATTTGCCGTTCCAACACCACAGCTACCGCCGCTGTTGCAGGAGCGTGTACACCCTTGAGAGCAGCCCATGCCTTTGGTCCCTTCTCTAGTTCACGCTGGAAAGGCTTGATGTGACGGATCTGGCTGCTCCCCAACGCTTGCCCTAGTAGAAGGTAGCCTTGTGCGCTCTTCCGCACCCACGGGCTCTTCTCCGAGTCGTTCTCGTGGTGCTTCTCCGTTCCTTCCATCACCTCCAGCAGGTCATAGTGATCAAACACGTTCTGCATTCTGAAGGACCACTCAGCAAAGTTGTCACCCTTGAACTTGTCAAGGCCAAACACTCTAGGCATGTCCCTAGATGGGCCAACACTTGGTTGCACGGGCGCCATGGCTGAGTCACGGGGTTGGCCTTAAGCTTGGGCTTCTCCACTGCCACCAGCACCTCTGCCACCCCTTTCCTCAGGTCCAGCCATTGTCGAAACTGCTCCAAGGGGTTCTGATACCACTTGTTATAGTCACAGTAGGCTCCAATGTGCCTAAAACGAAAGATAGAGTGCACAGTCGGATTTCTGCATAGCGGCTTCAAACGTTCATAGCGATCTGCTCACAACTTCAAATGACTTCATTCAACTTGGATCTGGAGCGCCTTAACGTCGCCTACAATAGGCAATTTAGATCGCACGCTTTCATTAAGAACTGACGACACAGCGCCGGTTTGAACGAACGGCACTATGGCAGCAACATAGTCTTAGAACACAAGATAGGAAGAGTTAGGAAGAGTTACGAGTTGGGAATGACTCCCAGCTCCTACAAACCCCAAGAGCCGAGGTACAGTGATGTGGAACAGTGCCACACTGTCCCCAACCACGAAGGGTCTCGAAACTACCCTTCATTAGGGCCTACACCAAGTGAAATGTTACACTACACAAACTAATTTAACTACCTTCAATATCTTGAGGTGCACCCTTTTGGCGAGCTTCGGAATCACTTGAGGCTTGACACCAAGGCTCGGGCTCTTCATCACAAACTCATCCTTGAGTTCTTGATGGGTCTTCTGCACACACCTGCGACACGCCGAACGTTCGACACAAACGACCGCATAACATGCGTCTAGCGATAACTCGCTATTGACTCGACACACACACTCGACATCGTAACTCAACATTCACACACAATTATAAGCATGAAATATATATTATCCCATGCCCTCATACCATTCCATACACACACACACATGCACGCACACGGACAACAAGCCGAGTGCAAACCGTAGGGTTGCACCAACAAGGTGGTTGACGAGGAGGTCGACTTGCACTGGGGCCATTGCACGGGCACCGACTACAAGATGGCGCCGAATTGAGGGAGGTCAGCCTGGGAAGTCGACCTGCGGAGGGCGTCGACTTGGTGATGCCAACTTTGGGCAGCCGACTTGGGTGGTCGGCTGACAGGCCTGCTGGTCAACTTGGTGGTAGGTCGACCGGGCATGATGTCGACCTGGTGGTCGCCCTGACCTGGTGGTTGACGGAGGAGGAGCGTCAATCAGCTGGGCGTCAAGTAGCAGGGCGACCAACTTCGGGTAGCTGACCTGGGTGGTCGGCCAACAGACGTGCTGGTCGACCAGAGGTGTGGTTGACCTGGTGAGGTTGACTGGAGGTGGTCGTTGGCTTGGGAGGTCGACGACCGCATTCAAGAGCATCTAGTCGACGTGGTTGCCTGGTTGACCAGGTTACCTGGGTGACGAGGTTTTGCGGAAGAGTACGACAGTCGGCCAGGTGATGTTGGTGAGACCGACCTCGGTGGTGGTATCCCGAGGTCGACATGGCGGATCAGGTGAAGTCATCAGCACGAGGATAACTTAGTGTGTGCGTTGTGTGGGTGACAAGGCTCAGCACGCCAATCATCTGCGAGCACCTGCGAAGCTGGTGCGGTGCTGTAGTGCAGGAGCAACGCTGGCACGCCGTCAACCTGCTGAGTTAGCAAGCCGTCAACTTTGCACTGCTGGAGCGCGGTCGACCAAGTCGTGCTGGAACGCGGTCGACCATGCTGCGCTGGCAGTCGACCGACCTGAATGCTACCTCTTATATAGTCTTGTCTTGCCAATCTCATTGTACCATTGTTGTCAACTTTCTCTAGTGAAACTCTTGCGAAATTGCCTTGTGAACTAGCAAGCAGTGTGTGCACTAGGAAAACGACTAAGGACCAACGAACGCAGAGATCACACTGTCCAACTTATATGCTATAGTCTGTGTAGGCTGTAGTGGGGTAGACTATATGGGGTACATCATTTCTAGGTTTTCCTACTTGTACCCACGTGCTTGCAAGTTCATTCATTCCTCATTCTTCACATGGTATAGAGCACATTCCCTCGTGGGAACGCTTCTCAGGGCCCACCACCTAACTCGATCTTTTTTTTTCCTGCCCAAGGCGCGCCCCGTAGGCCGCCCTCACGTCGCGCCCTCCTAGAGGCCCCTCGCGCCACCCTTAGCGGCCCCGTCGCCGTCCTTTTCGGCCCCGTCGCTGCCCCTCTAGGCCCCTCGCGGCACCTTCACGGCCCCGTCGCCGCCGCTCTAGGCCCCGTCGCCGCCCCTCTAGGCCCCTCGCGGCCCCTTCGCGGCCCCGTCGCCGCCACTTGCGGAACCCGTCGCAGCCCCCTCTAGGCCCCTTACGGCCCCTTCGTGGCCTCGTCGCCGCCCCTCTAGGCCCCTTGCAGCCCCTCTGTGGCCCCGTCGCCGCCCCTAGCGGCACCGTCGCCGCCGATGGAGGCCCCGTCGCCGCCCTTTGCGGCCACCTCGCCGCCCTTAGCGGCCCCGTCGCCGCCCCTAGCGGCCCCATCGCCGCCTCTACCGGCCCCGTCGCCGCCTCTACCGGCCCCATCGCCGCCTCTACCGGCTGTTATGTGATGCTATCGTCTGCATTCACGTCTGTCTACCTCCCATCATATGTTCGTGCGTTGCATGCGTGGTTGAAGCGTGTGCAAGAATTTGTGTTTTCTGTGGTTTGGATTCTCTGAGTATATGTGAATGTCATTTGGCTTGAGCAGATATCTGAAGTGACTCCTGTGCTCAAGAGCTTTCCGTCGAGCCAAGTATCGCTTCAATCGGAGCACGAACAAGAAAGTTACGAACGTTGGAGTTCGTATGCTTTTCATATTTGATTGTGGCAACTGTGGGAAGTTGTGGGGTTGATTCAATATGGGGTACAGACTTTTGGGGGTTGGGAAATTCCTCTTTTCTACTGTAGTTGCTGCCAAATGGTTGGGAGAAACCAAACCAGGTTGGCAAATGTGGTCAACTTGGGTAAGGTGGATTGTGGAGGTTGGGAAAGTGACAAAAGTAAAAGTGGGGTTGCTATAGAGAGGGAAAGTGTGTGGCATGGGGTTTCCTTGGTTGGGGACTCTCTTAGGACCTTCTCTCTCATCCCTTCTACCTGGTTTAGTGCTACTCTCTTGTGTAGTAATTGTGAACTTGTGTGAGAACTTTGTGATTGAGTTAAGATTCCATGGCAGCATACCCCCTAGTGCACCGAACTTGATAACTCATAAAATACTTTTTGTCTTTTTCGTATGTATCAGAGTTTGATGAAGTTCTGACCGTGAACTTTTTGTCGACGGCGTTTCTTGTGAACTCGACTTTTCTGTCCAGAAATAGAGACCAACGATTTTGAGAAATTTAGGCCCATAATCTTTATAGACCCCGTCCTTAGTCTATAACACCGGCCCAGTCGCCGCCTCTACCGGCCCCTTCACCGCTAAGCCGCCCAGCAGCTGAGAAACCGAGCCACCAAGCCACCGAGCCGCCCAGCAGCCAAGCCGCCGAGCCGCCCAGCAACCGAGCCGCCGAGCCGCCGAGCAGCCGAGCCGCCAAGCCGCCCTGCCGTCGAGCTGCTATTGTTCCTACCGGCGCGCCCCGGCCCTACTTACTCGGACTGGTGAGATCACTCCCTACTAGGCCTCTGCAGTCATGGCTACCCCCAGTGTCCTTACCTTTGATGCTGAGGGTCGTGCTGTTGACTTTGAGGTCTGGGTCGATGACCTCCAGCTGTTCCTACAGTGCGATAGGGCAGACGGACTCTCTCTGTTCGTTCTCACCTCTGGTGCCTCTCCTGCCCCACCTGCTACTGCTGACAGCACTGTTTGCTCACAGTGGGCCACACGTGATGCTGCTGCCCATCTTGCTGTGCGTCGCCACTTACCGACAACTGAGCGTGCGCACATTAGCCAGTACAAGAGTGCTAAGACCTTGTACGACACTGTAGTTGCTCGCTACTCTTCCCCTGCCACTGCTGCGCTTAGCGGCCTCATGCTGCCGTACCTGTTCCCTGACCTTGCTGCTTTTCCCACAATCGCTGACCTCATTACGCACCTTTGCACTAGTGACCTTCGCTACCGCGCTGCGCTTCGTGCTGAGTTCTGTGCATCACCCTCTACTACATAGTCACCCGGCTCCCTGACTCCCTTCGCTTAGTCAGGGACCACTTCCTCTCAGTTTGCCCCACCACACTCACCGTTGACCTCCTCGAGGAGCGTCTCATAGCAGCAGAGAAGAGCATAGTCGCTGTAGGAGCCTCTCGTGGTGACCCTCGCACACCCGTCTTTGAGGGGTGTTCCCCCTCCCCCCTCTTTCCCTCTGATGCTTATGTTGCCGCGGCCGACCTCGTTGGTTTTGAGTCAGTCGGCGCTGCGTCTGCCCCAGGCGGGAGACGCCGCACCGGCAAGGGCAAGGGGGGCAAGGGCGTTGGAGGGGCTCGCGTGGGCGGTGGAGGTGGTGGTGGAGGCAGTGGAGGGGGTGGGGGTGGTGGTGGGAGTGGTGGCGTGGGTGGAGGTGTCGGTGGCAGCAGTAGGGGCGGAGGAGGCGGCGGCGGTGGCAGAGGGAGTGGAGGCGACGGAGGTGGTAAAGGCGGCGGAGGTGGCGGAGGCGGCGGAGGCAGCGGTGGAGCTGGTCGCAACTCTGCGCAGAGGAGTGGCTATGGTGGTGGTCTGCGCCAGCAGCAGCGGCGCAGTCGTGAGACCCCGTCCCCCCAGCAGCTTCGTGAGTGGTATGCTGGGCGTCAGCAAGGTGGGGGTACAAGTCCCTGCACCTACATCCTCCGTACCGGCGACCGCGCTGGTGAGCAATGCGGGGGCCCGCACTCCACCTAGCGCTGCTTCGGCCGCCTGACGGACGCGTGGCATCACCAGTTTCCTGACGCCATTGAGATCCCTCGCTGGGGAGAGCTTTCTATGGCGGGGGATGCTATCTTTGATCTTGATTGTGATGCTATTCTTGCTACCATGTATGGTGTGTCTACTAGTAATGAGGGTGACTGTTACCTGTGTGTTCCGCCTGACCCGGGAATTAAGGCTGCAGCTCTAGGTGCTGGTGAGGCTGCTGCTCTAGGTACTAGTGCGTCTGCTGCCCCAGGTGCTGGTGAGTCTGCTCTCTCAGGTACCACGTCGGCTCAGGCCTTACATACCTTCACCCTTGACTCAGGTGCTTCCCGCTCCTTCTTTCGAGACCGCACCACGCTTACGCCACTTAGTCGGCCGGTTGCGGTCTCCCTAGCGGACCCCTCTAGGGGTCCTCTCCTTGCTAGCTTCTCAACTGTCTTACCGTGCACGGCAGCCCCCTCTGGCACCATGTCAGGTCTCTACCTCCCCTCGTTCTCTACGAACTTGGTGAGTGGAGCTGACCTACAGGATAGTGAGGTTGACTAGTTCATTCCTACGAGTCAGCGGGTGACCCACTGCACGTGTGCTCGGACGGGCCGACACTTGGCCACGTTTACCCGTCGGCTGGGGTTGAGCCTGTACACACTGACAACTGAGTCTCCTTCGCTTGCTGAGTCTGGTCAGGTAGCTGCATTGAGTCAGGTGTTTGCTGCAGCGTCCAGGTCTGGTCCTGAGTCTGCGCCCTGCTCGTGTCGTCTCCTGTCCCACTAGACTCTCCTTTGGCACCACCGCCTTGGTCACCACTCAGACAAAGGCGGGGAGTTTTCCTCTGCCCGTCTGGGAGCCTTCTGTTGTGCACAGGGCATCCGCAAGACCTTCACGCTTCCGGCCTCTCCACAGCAAAATGGGATTGCTGAGCGCCGCATTGGCATGGTCATGGACGTCGCTCGTACGTCCATGATCCATGCGGCTACTCCCCATTTTCTGTGGCCATTTGCGGTTTAGTACGCAGTGCATCAGCTCAACCTTATCCACGGGTCTCCTTGCCAAAGACTTCCCCCACCTTGCGGTGGATGGGGAAGGTTGGCGATGCGTCTGCGTTTCGGGTCTGGGGATCTCAGGCTTTTGTCCGCGACTTGTCTGCGGACAAGCTATCCACCCGTGCTGTTCCCTACGTCTTCCTTGGCTTCCCCCCTGACGCTCCTGGGTGGCAATTTTCCCACCCCACCTCGCGCCGTGTTCTATTTTCCCAGGAGGTCACCTTTGACGAGTCGGTGCCTTACTACCGTCTCTTCCCCTACTGCACTGCGCCCCTCACCCCGCGGCCGCTCTTCCTTGCGCCAGGTCCTCCCACGGTAGACCCCCTCCCCACTCAGGGTTCTGCCCCGTCAGGTGTGTCCCATGTAGACCTAGTCGAGCCTGTCGAGGTAGCTGTTGACTCTGGTGCTGCTAGAGGTGCTGAGCCTACGAGTGTCGGGACTGGAGGTGCTGAGCCTGGGGGTGCGGAGTCAAGGGGTGCTGAGCCTGGGGCTGCGGAGCCTAGGGGTGCTGAGTCTAGGGGTGCTAAGCCTGGGGGTGCTGAGTCTAGGGGTGTTGAGCCTAGGGGTGCTGAGTCTGGGGTTGCTGAGCCTGGGAGCGCTGAGCTTGGGGGTGCGGAGCCTGGGGGTGCTGGGTCTGCTCGTGTGGCCTCTCACCGTGCTTCGTTGAGGCGGGAGCTACTCTCTCCGCAGGAGCTGCGCGAGTGGTTTGCTCGGTGCTGGAGCCGTGCTGCTGGAGCTGGAGGTACTGCTGTTGCTGCTGGTCTCGGAGGTACTCGTACTGGCGGTGCTGGAGCTGCTGGGACTAGGGCTGCTGGAGTTGGTCCTGCTGGAGGTACTGCTAGAGGTACTGCTAGAGCTGCTGGCGGTACTAGAGCTGCCGGTCCTGCTGGAGCTAGAGCTGCTGGAGCTGGAGCTGCAGGGGGTGTTGGCGCGGGTGTTTCTGCTGGCGGTGGTGCGTCTGAGGGTGCTGGAGTTGGCTCTGTTGGAGGGTCACAGTTACAGCCCGCCTCCCCCGTACCTGCTCCTTCTCCCTACACTAGTCCTACTGGAGGTCTTGCTGAGCGTCGTGAGCCTGCGTCTCGTCCTGCGTCGCTTGTTTGTGCTACTCGCACTAGTGGCCGTGATCCGCACCCGCGTCCGCGTCCTCCTGCGGTCCCACGCACACACTAGATGGCACTGCGTCCTTCCACTGCTCCTCTGCGTGTCCCGTTGCCGTCTCCTCCAGAGTCCTCTCATCGTGTTCTTGCTTACTCTCTTGGTGATGCAAGTCCTACTGTCACGCGTCTCCTGGCTACTGTTGTCACTGACCCTTCCTTTGAGTCCACTACTGCGTCGGCCCTAGTTGCTGAGCTTGTCGACTTTGCTGCTCGCTGTCGTCTGGACTACGCTACTAGTCTTGTTGCTGAGTCTTAGTCTGTCTGTCCTCCGTCCGTCAGGGGTGGGTGTGCTCTTAGTGCTTCGGCTTCACGTACTCCTCACCTCAGGCCACTCCTCTGTCTACTCGCCACTCGCTCTCAGCTCTGCCTTCGGATGAGTCCGTAGAGCCAAGTGGCCTGTACCCAGAGCTTGTTGGCTGCCACATGTACCTGATGACCTGCACACGACCTGACCTTGCATACCCTCTTAGCATCTTGGCACGCTATGTTGCTCCTAGGAGACACCGACCAGAGCAAATAGCTGCAGCGAAGAGGGTGTTGCACTACTTGTGCAGTACGTCGGGCATGGGGCTAGTGCTTGGAGGGCGACGTCGAGTGGTCCTCACAGCTCACGCAGACGCTTCTTAGGCTGACGACCAGGCTACGCAGCGGTCGTCACAGGGTTACACCTTTAGCCTTGGCTCCGGCTCTGTTTCGTGGCGGTCTACCTGCTCGTCTTCTGTTCTCACCTCCAGCTGTGAGGCTGAGATCTACGCAGGGGCCATGGCTGCACAAGAGCTACGCTGGCTCACCTACCAGCTGACTGACCTAGGAGAGCCGCCTCGTTCTCCTCCAGTTCTGTACGTAGACAACAAGACCATGCTGGCCTTGTGTCGGGAGCACAGAACGAAGCACATTGCTCTTTGCTACTTCCTTGCTCGTGAGTTGCAGCAGCATGGTCAGCTGCGCCTTGCTTACGTGGCCTCTGAGGCCAACACTGCTGATATCTTTACCAAGGCACTTCCACCTAGTGATCATCAGCGCTTCTGTACGATGCTAGGTCTTGTGCCTACTTGGCCTCACTTGCTCACTTCTTGACCTTGCTTGTACTGTGTTCTTTCTATACCTGCACTTGCCTGTTTACCTTTATATATGATCTTGCATATGAACTGGCCTTTTGGCCTTGCTCTTGTGCTCGGACTGTGTGGTGACGTTGTGATCCACCCTGAGCTTGCTTTGCTTTGCTTGACTGGTCTTGTGACCACTTTTTCTCCCCCACTTTGCCTATGGGGGTGTGTCAAACTTATATGCTATAGTCTGTGTAGGCTGTAGTGGGGTCGACTATATGGGGTACAACATTTCTAGGTTTTCCTACTTGTACCCACCTGCTTGCTTGTTCATTCATTCCTCATTCTTCACACACACGAGCACCCGTGCCTAGCCCGTAGTCTAGCTCTTATTGTAGTAGTTATCTCCGCATGCATATAAATATACTTGTCAGAATAAGAAGTGGTTGCACTAGGAAAAGTGTGGGGTAGAAGTAGGAAACCCTAAAGTTATCATACCCCATAGTATCTTCCCCCCTACAGCCTAACAAACTGGTGTCGATATAACATTTGACACACCCCCATAAAGTGGGGGAGAGCAAGGGGTCATAAGACAAGTCAAGAAAGGCAAAGGAAGCTCAGGGTGGATCACAACGTCACCACACTCACTAAGCACAAGTAAGAGGCCACAAGGCCAGTTCACATGCAGAGGCATATATGTAACACAAGCAGCACAGTGATTGCTACCTAGCAAAGCAAGCATGCAGGTAAAAAAAAGTGGGCACAAGCCCTGGCAAAGTGCAGAAACGCTGATGATTACCAGACTGAAGTGCCTTGGTGAATATATCAGCAATGTTGGCCTGAGTGGCCACGTAATGCAGACAAAGCTGGCCACACAGTTGCAACTCTTGAGCCAAGAAGTAACGTAGAGCGATGTGCTTCGTTCTGTGCTCCAGTTTGTGCTCCTCACACAAGGCAATAGCAGCCTTGTTGTTGACGTACAACACTAGAGGAGAACGAAGCCGCTCTCCTAGGTCAGTCAGCAGGTAGGTGAGCCAGCGTAACTCCTATGCAGCCATGGCTGTGGCGTAGATCTCAGCCTCACAACTGGAGCTGAGAATTGAAGACAAACGCGTAGAATGCCACGAAAATGAACCTGAGCCAAGGCTGAAGGTGTAACCCTATGACGACCGCTGAGTAGCCTGGTCATCAACTCAAGAAGCGTCAGAGTTCCCAGTGAGAACAATTGAGCTCCTCCCTCCAAGCACAAGCCCGATGCTTGATGTACAGCACAAGTAGCGCAATACCCTCTTTGCAGCTTCTCAGTGCACCTTTCGGTGCCTACCAGGAGCCACGTAGCAAGCTAGAAGGCCAAGAGGGTACGCTAGGTTAGGACGAGTGCAAGTCATCAGGTACATGAGGCAGCCAACTAGCTCTGGGTAAGGACCACTCGGCTCTATGGACTCGTCCGAAGGTGGAGCTGAGAGCGAGTGACCTGTAGCCAGAGAAGTAGCCTGTGCCGAGGACCAGGTGAAGCCGAAGCGCTGAAGGACCTGTTGCACCATGTGTGACTAAGTTTGTGTGATGGTGCGGCGTGCTCTGTCCCGGGTGATCTGCAAGCCAAGGTAGCTGCGCAGTTCACCCAAGTCTGTGCACGTGTGTCTCTTCTGCAGCTCCGACTTCACGTGGGCGAGAGCCTTAGTGTCATCAGTGGCAAAGACCAAGTCGTCGACGTACACAAGGATGTAGAACGGCGGCAGCGAAGTGTTGGTGCGCAGAAACTGCGACGGGTCAGCAGTAGAAGGCGCAAACCCAAGAGCCGCAAGTGTAGTCCTCAGTGTGTTTCCTAGCGGAGACCGTAGACCGGCCGCAAGGGCGGCGCAGCCAGATCTCCTCGTGCAAGCTGCCCTGCAGAAAAGCTGTGCTGGAGTCAAGAGAGTGAAGGTCGTAGTCACACTGAGCGGCAACATGCAGTAGCACCCAAAGAGTGGTCATCTTCGGGGTGGGGGAGAAGGTCTGGAAGAAGTCTACTCCCTCTCGCTGACTGAAGCCTCGAGCAACGTAACGTGCCTTGAAGACAGGCGGAGAACTTGGCGGCTGCTTCACCCTGAAAATCCAGATGCCACTGACGATGTTCGCCCCAGGAGGGGGAACCTCGTCGACGTAAGTGACAGTGGACTTCTAGGATGCCATCTCTGCGTCCATGGCTGACTGCCACTGAGAGGAGTACTCACCCTCGATCCCCTCAGCGTAAGAGCGCGGGGTCGGGATGTCTGGTGCATCCGGGTCTCCCTCAGGTGCAATCAGCATGGACACGAGATGAG